ATCCGAACTATAAACTTTCATCCCAGTATTTCTGTGATAATATGAATGACTGCAAGACAGAAATAATACTAAAAAGACTGTTTGTGAGGCTGTTTCTTACGTAAACATGCTAACTGTCTGCTCTTTGTGTCAGCGGCAGCGCGAACGCAGATTTGAATGTTCCGGTTTTTCAAAGGTTTAATAGACACAGGCTAATTGTTGTCATTTAAAAATAGGATTGCATGGGTGTTTGAATCGAGATCGCGATCTTTTAACGATTAATCGTGCAGCTCTACAAGACAGCTGGGCAATAAATATAGTGGTAATAAACATATTGGTATTTTTATGGGCAATAAACATAGTGGTATTTCAACACACAGTGCAGTAGGTGTGTGATATTGCACATGAATTTGACCATATAATTAAAAACACTGTAGATGTAAACATTCGTTTAAACATTTTTCTAGATGGCAGGAGGGTGAAGAGTGGGTGTGGGATTAGCCACAATGCTGGTTGGTGGCTTTGCAGATGCAGCGTATTGCATAAATGTCCATGAAGACCCCATTGATCTTCTCAGCTGTCCTCACTGTCCGCTAAGGGTTTTGCATTCCGAGGATGTGCAATTAATAAACCAGGCAGTGAGGCAGCTACTTAGGATGCTCTTGATAGCCCCTCTGTAGAAAGTGTTTTGGATGGGTGGTGGGAGTTGGGCCTTCCTCAGTAAGTAGAGACTGGGCTTTCTTTGTAATGGAGCTGGTGTTGAGGGACCAGGTAAGGTTCTCTGCCAGGTGAACACCAAGAAATTTGGTGTTCTTGATGTTCAGCAGGGAGTGACTGCACCAAGCCGTCCTGAAATCCACAACCATCTCTTTTGTTTTGTCCACATTCAGAGACAGGTTGTTGGTTTTGCACCAGTCTTTTAACCCTTGTACTTACTTTCTGTAAGCCAACTTGTCATTCTTACTGATGATTCAAACCGTGAATTACTGCAGTCATGAGTTAGCAGTGTGAACAGCAGGGGGCTGAGCACACAGCCCTGTGGGGCCCCAGTGCTGGAGGTGCTGTTCCCAACCCAGACTGACTGAGGTCTCTCTGTCAAAAAGACAAGTTGCAGAGGGAGTTGTTCAGACTTAGCAGGCTCAGCTTTCGGAACATTTGCTGAGTAATGATGGTGCTGAATGCAGGGCCGGCGCGAGCTCAACTGCCGCTCTAGGCAAAACCCTACCGTGCCGCCCCCACTTCACATTCACAATTAAACACGATCTTTAAGATGCATGTGAAAGACTAGAGATTTTGTTTATTGGTACAACTGCATTAAAATAAAGCAGACACGGGCGTGTTTTCTTATAATTTTTTTCTCCTACTGCAACGTAAAAAAATTAATAAAAAATAACCACTAGTATAGCTGCAAAAGCAAATTAAGTGTAGCCTATGTACAGGCCTGAAGTGGCCATGGGAAGATTTGGGAGAATGCCCGGTAAGCAGCTCGACAAACGTTGTTCAGGACACGGAAAGCAACAAGTCTCTGTAGTTCATTTTCACTAAGAGACATAGAAATCTGTTCAAGCAGTGCTCGTACGGCCAAAATCCCTATTCGTAGTCGGGGTGTAATTTGAACAAGCTGGGTCCAGGTCCAGCACCTCCGAATTCCGATAACCTCATTTGGCGGATCCCCCTCCTCACGCACCAATGAAAGATGTTCGTGTCAGGGTTATTATAGTTTTGCATTTTTAAATTTGTTTTATTTTAATATCACTTTCAATTTTCTTTTATTAGTTTCATTAATAATTGGGTTAATTTTAGTTTAGTTTTTATTTTGTGATTTTAGATTTAGACAGATTTATAGTCTTAGTTTTTATACAGTTTAGTTTAAGTTTTAATGCCCACTCTAAAGCGATACTAAACTGCAGTGGAAACGCAAACCGAGCCGTGCCGAGTCGTACCACGCAGTGGAAAAGCGCCATTAATGATTGCGCGAATGCTCCATTACCTCTCCATCCTCTGTTCACTTGCCGGATCCATCACCCCGCTTTATTCCGGGACCTCGCAATTTACAAATTAAACGCTGTTCGTAGCGTTATAAATGATAAAGACTAAATATCTAGGCTACCTGGCTAAAAAAACAAAACACGGTTTTGGTCCAAAACCATGTTTTTTTTGGGGGGATGTATGTGTATGTAGGCCTACGTGTTTGGATGTACGTGGATGTACATGGGCCTATCTAATAGATTACACCAGGGGTGCCCAACCCTGTTCCTGGAGATCTACCTTCCTGCAAAGATCAGCTAAAACCCTGATCAAACACAACTGAACCAACTTATTAGGATCTGAAGAACACTTCATCATTACAGACAGGTGTGTTTGATCAGGGTTGGAACTGAACTCTGCAGGAAGGTAGACCTCCAGGAACAGGGTTAGGCACCCCTAGATTACACTATACACTTGGTCCACCTGTGTCTCCCCCACGCTTTCTCTCACAGTAGGCTATAATCTTACCTTTCAGAAGCGCGTGTCGGGCTTTAAAACTCATCAGACATCACCAGTAGCGAAAGTCATTCATGTCCGGATAGTTTTATTCATTTTGATGACATTTATGGAAGTAGCCTAGGTTACATGAGGGTGTTTTGCATGTGATATTGACACCACTCAGGTGGGGCACAGCGCCAGAGTGGCATTACTATGAAGCTAAGTTAATTTAGAGTTAGAATAACTAAGGGGTGATAACTTGTTGATGGGTCAATGACGTGACACTTAAATTTTCTTTCCGATTGCATTTTTTTCAGTTAAAAATAGGTTTAAATGCATAAAAAACATGCCATATATATGAAGGACCTCTCCCATGTATGAACTCACTTTAACTTTTCAAAAAACATAAGTTATTTGTCATTTTTCTGTTATTCAAAATGTCAAAATATCATGTGGTGCGACCGTCCGGCCATAACTTTTTTTTTGTAAACATCTTTGAAATTACCCTAAATTTATTAAAATAAATTTTATGCACTATTTGGCACGATTTGTGATTTTGTAATCCTGTGTAAAATTGCAAAGCATTTGTATTTATATTTCCAATGGTTTATATACATAAAATATCTTATTTTAGTATAATTTGGAATAGGTTTTTATGCAATTTGGGTCATTTCAGATGGTTTGTGTTTAATCTTTGTACAATGAGAAAAAATGCAAAAAAAAAAAAAAAGATTCAGAGCATGTAATTTTAGTTTGGTAATTATGCATTTATTAGTAATTTATTATTTATTTATTAATAAATATTTAAATCTATTCTGCCAGATTCCACTGCCAAGCAAAGTAAAATAAACGAAATGGACCTTTCGCAAAGACCTGCCCCCCTTAGTTACTGTTGCTACGTCCGACAAACCATGGCACTTTTATGCCATACATCATGTTCTCACGCATTGAAAAATACATCACGGAGCAAAGAGGACACTGACAATGAGCTGACAGACAAGACAGAGCTGGTTACTTTTAGTATGAAACAAGTCTCAGTCTCAGAAAGTCTCAGTGTTCAAATGTTTGTGGCTCTTTAACGTGTTGTGACAGATCGCTGTAGTGCCATCTCTTCATCTTTACTATTCATAGCACGAAATAAACATGAATGAACATCAGAAGGTATCTTGTTTCAACTGTGAAAAGATGTCAGTACACACCATGGTTCAAGTTCAAGTCCATCGACGTTAATCTACTCTCCTGTCTGGTTTGTTTGTTGGACAAAAATTACGGATTCGGCATTATAATATGTCAGACTGCCTGTTAATCAAACTCCTGACGAAAGGGTCAATTTGAGCAGCCAATATACAATAATTACAGAAATAACTGGGGCTAAAGAAATGCCTGCAGTTAATGCCACGTGCTGCGCTTTTCACACATGTCTCTTTAAATAGATTTTTTATGATATAAGGTCTTTGTGTCATTTGGAGCGACCACTCATCATGTGGTGCGACCAATAATAGCAATAACTGTATTAAATTAAAATAAAATATCTAATTTCTGTGGTTGAAATATGAATCACTGCTACAGTATGCTTAAGTGAATGGTATTTTTAAAACATTTTTATCAGTTTTATGCAATTTACAGGAAAAATAAGTCTGTTAACTACATTTAAGAAGGCAACTCTGAAATTATAGAACAAAAATAAGAGATCATTATTTACAAAAACTCAAATTAAATGCAAATACCTTGTTTTCTAAACACGTTAATTACTGAGAACATTTAAAAAAAATGTTAAGCATGTTAAGGAAATTATTTAATTATAATATAAATCATGGTCGCACCACATGACATTTTTTAAGACTACGGCCAATTCATCTAGATGAAAAAACACTAAAATCACTTCATTTTAAATTTTAATATGAATTTATGTGTACACAACATTCTTAATGTTTGAACAATTACAATAGATATTATTTTTTGTATTTTAAAATTGGCCTGTCGAAAATCCTTAATCGTCAATGACCCTGATATGAGTGCAATAATTCCAAAGAATGCCCTAAAGATAAACTAAAATCTTTGTCCTTTTTGCCGCCCTGACTGTGCTGCCGCCCTAGGCGGCTGCCTAGTTCGCCTATATGCACGCGCCGGCCCTGGCTGAATGCTATGCTGAGGTCTACAAACATCACTCAAACATATCTGTCCTTACTGTCCAGATGAGTGAAGGCCAGATGGAGTGAGGTGGAAATAGCGACTTCTGTGGAGTGGTTAGGATGATACGCAAACTGCAGCAGGTCAAGTGAGAGTGGCAGCAGGGTCTTGATGTGCCTCATAATGAACCGCTCAAAGCACTTCATGATGATAGGTGTGAGTATGACGGGATGGTAGTCATTGAGGCTGGATATGGAAGACTTCTTTGGCAGCTGTGGATTCTTAGGGCGTTCTCCCTATAGAAACATGGGATTTGTGCCTGTAATGTTTTAAAAGTAATAATTTGAAGATCAATTTATCCCATTCATGGAAGGTTTCAGGGGTGTGTAATTTATAAAATTGCATCAAAATGATTTACTGCTTTCTGCTGTTATATTGGGGTTCATTTTTATCTCCTTTCACATTTCTGTTTTATTTATTACATTGTTTTTACAAGTTAAAAAATGAATTGTTTTTTACTTTTATTTCAGAGTTGATTGAAGAAAATAAGGAGAATAAAGAATTGAGTGAAATTGAGGAGAAAAATAATGCCAAAACTGGAGAAAAACATTTGAGTTGCTCTCAAACTAAACAGAAAAATGTAAAGAAAGGAGGAGCCCAGAAATCTGTCACCTGCACTCAGTGTGGAAAGAGTTTCACATGCAAATATAGTCTTGATGTTCACATGAGAGTTCATACTGGAGAGAAACCGTTCACTTGTGATCAATGTGGGAAGAGTTTCAAACAATCAGCAAGCCTTAAGAGACACATGAACATCCACACTAGAGAGAAACCAAACAAGTGTTCATACTGTGACAAGAGATTCAGTCGGTCAGAAATCCTGAAAACACACGAGAGGATCCACACTGGAGAAAAACCGTACACATGTGATCAGTGCGGGAAGCGTTTTGCACAAAGAGGACACCTTACAGAGCATATGAACATCCACCCTGGAGAAAAACCTTACAAGTGTTCACACTGTGACAAGAGATTCAATCAGTCAGGAATCCTGAAAAAACATGAAAGGATCCACACTGGAGAGAAACCGTACAAGTGTTCAGACTGCGACAAGAGATTTAATCGTTCAGCAAATCTGAAAGCACACAAGATTATCCACACTGAAGAGAAACCATACACTTGTGATCAGTGCGGGAAAAGTTTTGCACAAAAAGGACACCTTACGACACATATGAGAGTTCATACTGGAGAGAAGCTGTTCACTTGTGATCAATGTGGCAAGAGTTTCAAACAGTCATCATATCTTAAAGGACACATGAACATCCACACTGGAGAGAAATTGTACGCATGTGATCAATGCGGAAAAACATTTTTGTGGGCTTCATACCTGAAGAAGCACCTGAAAGTTCATAGAAAGGAGAAGCCATATTCGTGTTCTTTATGCGAGAGGAGTTTTTCACGTCTAGCACATTTAAAAGAACATCAGAAAATACATACTGGTGTAAGAGAGTACATGTGCTTTGAGTGTGAAAAGACTTTTACTTCAGCCAACAGTTTAAAACTGCATGAGAGGATTCACTCCGGAGCAAAACCTTATGAGTGTTCACACTGCGACAAGCGATTCCGTTACCGAGAAAATCTGAAAACACACGAGAGGATCCACACTGGAGAGAAACCGTACAAGTGTTTACACTGCGACAAGAGATTCAGTCAGTCAATACATTTGAAAAGGCATGAGAGGATCCACACTGGAGAGAAACCGTATCACTGCACTGCATGTGGGAAGTGTTTCAATCGTTCATCTTCTCTACACAGTCATACAAAAAACTATCACAGTAAGTAGATCATCTTCAGATCCAGCATTTTCAGATCTGATGCCGCGCTCTCACCAAATGTGAGACAATAATGCGTCAAGCAATAAAATATCATCTGGATAAATCTGTCCTCACCAGCCATTACAAGCGACATGACAAAGAAACATCATCTGAAGTTTTCACAGTGAATAAAGTCTATCTTCATCTTCAAAACCAGCAGATTCAACTGTGAGATTCAGATCAACTCAAAGATGGAGTTTCCTCCCCAAAGAACAATGTCAAAAACTTTTTTTAAATTTCATTTTGCTTTATGATTTAAATGATATTATTGTGCTTTTTTATTATGTTTTATTGTCTTATAATGCATATGTATCACTTGTAGTTTGCTTACTCTTTCATGAAGGAAAGTAGAAGCTTTTTTCAAACCGTTCTTGTTCAGGAAGCTGAAGAGGCTGTAACAATTTTAAGAGAGACTGAGTAGGCCTGGGAGATAAAACGGTATCGATATTTATCGGCGTTACACCTTCTTCGATAACGATAGAAAATTTTTTCGATATAAGCACGTGCTATGAGTGACGCAGACAGCACACACAAACAGGAACACATGCTGAATTGAGTGCTGTGCCTGTCTGTGATGAGGAGATTGTGAATAAAGAAAATGAATATTAGTCGAATTTAAAATAAACATTTGCATTTGAATGCAAAAATAGTACAATCAGCGTCAGGGAGTGTCATCAGTGGAGCACGAGATGCGGTGATGATGATGTAAGTGACGTTGTTGCATTTTAATGTTTTATTAGTCTAGCGCAGCGCAGTTGCTGCGTTATTCATTCAAGATATTAGAGAAATATAGTAGCTCAATGCGGAGAAGATCTTGATTAGGTTAAAACTGAAACCAAGCCATTCACACAGAACACATATTCAGCACATTTTTTAGACGGACAAATATGACTGCTGCACTCATGTGTCACACAAGAGATGTATAGAAAGCCATGCAAAGGTAAAACATTTTAAACTTTTAGAAAACGCGTCACGAATTTGTGGAGGTTTATTCCTTTTCACTGCGTCTCATATGTTTTTAAAGGCAATCTGTGTGATGGGCGATTCGGCTCTTTGTATTAAGCAATGCATAATAGTAATGCTGTTTTGTTCATAATTGTTTATGCAATTTACGAAATTATGTTTGATTTATAGGAGTTAATTTAGACGTAATGCATGTTATTATAGACAGTTATTTCCTTGCGTTGACATTGCGCTGCATAAAACATTAGAAATTAGATATTTGTTTAATTTTAATTTTGTGTTCGACTGTTAAAACAAAACATATTTTTTTGTTTGTCTCAATAAATTGGATTAATTTAAAAATACAGTGGTTAAATGTAAACATTTTTTTCTATTGCTCTTTGTTTTAAAAAAGGTTATAAAAAATGTCAATAATTATCAATACCGAACGATATGAAAACATTATATCGTTGATACATTTTTTAGCTATATCGCCCAGCCCTAAGACTGAAATGTATTTTTAATTTGTTCTTCACTGTTGTTTTTAAAATAAATGGTTATTCTTCCACTTGTGATGTATCAAGACAATCCTCTATGTTGCATTTTCGTTAATCACAATCCAGAAGCAAGATCTCTCTTGTACTTACCAACATTCAAGTGTTGATTAAAAAAAGCGTACATGAAGCTAGAATTTTTTGTTGCAAAGCAGAGGCTCTGTTCTTTCTTTTGATATTGCATGTACAGATATTCGTTTTACAAAATATTCTGTATGTCATTAAACTTTTGTGAAGATTATCAAAAATGCTGGCCATGACTGGCAACTTTTTAAAAAAGATGCTGGCAGGGAAAGAGTTAATGATAATTCAAATGACAAAAGAAATTAGAAACATTACTCTCTGCTCCTGCTCGAATTACTTCAGTAGCTTTAATAAGCATTAATCCATCAGTTTATACAGTGAAGACTATGCAGTATTTTACATTTGATTAATTTAATCAGTTTATTTTGTAGGCTGTTATTTACCTGAATGCTACTGTTAATTAGGGGCGGTCACACTGCACTTTTCGTTCCATTGACTTCCATTCATACGCATGCGATTGTGGCAGACCGAAAACGCGAGCCAAGGAGATTTATAATTTTAATATTATTTATAATTTCAGTAATTTAGTAAAATTTATAATTTTAGTTTTAATATCTGAAAGCCATGAAGTATTAAGGCCTTTTCACACTGAACATGAAAATTTGGCATGAATGTTCGGTGCGATGACGCTTTTGAATCGATACAACCGATCCTTATAATGGGCTATTCTTTTTAAGAATACGAACGTAGACACATTGCCTAAACCACATATTAATATGTTCTATATTTTTTTAAATGAAAACGAAAAGAGGCAATGCTGTTCGACATCATATTTCGTTTTCTTGTAATGTATGTACGTTCCCTGAAATACATTTCTGCGGCTATTAATATGTTTAAATGAAAATGAAAAGAGGCAGTGGTGTTTGATATCATGGAATTGCAGTTTCTGCAAGATCTAAATGACTTAAACATCACCGACTGCAGCACAGGCATTATGGTCGTAGTCCGCGATATTCTTGTACATATTCAGACTGTCCATGTTCAATCAAGACATGGAATGCTCTACTGATTCATCGAAGTAGAAATCGTGCTGCACACTTCGGAGTAAATGACAAACAAAGATCTACCTTCAGTTGTCATTTGTGTGTATGCAGTAATCTTGCACCTGAAAAAGATTACTTTGTTCATAGTCATTTAAAGAGAAATGAAACTGTTCATTGTAAATTACAGCCAGAAAACATGCAATCAAATGTATATGGAACTTTCAAGTCGCATAAAAACAGAAAACACAACCCACATTCACTAAATGACTTTAAGCCTGGTGTAGTTACCAATTAAGAGAGCCTGAAGATGTTCAAGATTTTGGCAGTAGTGAGGCCTGTTTGGATGATGACTGCAATGAAATGGCTAACGACTTGCCTGGTGTTGTTGTTCAGAATTTAGCAGCAATGCTATTAAAACGGGAACATCTTGTACACGTTCCTTCTTTAGCCATTGATGATTTTTTGGAAGAGTTGCATTGCCTGTTAAAGTCTGTGTCAGTGCCTCTCTCAGTTGCCGGAGTACAGTAGGTGTTTGAGAAACATAATCTTCATGTTGATGAATCTGTCATAAAGGAAATAGCCGCTACCATCTTGAATCAGACTCTTTCTGGTGAGGGCGGAGCTTCTGGTCACATGAGTGTTCAAACTGTCAGAGGACACTATCAGGATTTCTTCAGGTTAATGTGAACAAAATGCCTTCAAAATTAACTTTGAAGTTTGATGCTAGAAAACGTTGACAAAATAGAAAAATAACAGATCATAATAGTTTAAAAAGACAAGCAGCACAAATCCGTTTGTCTCGCTATCTGTTCTGCATCATCCTGCATGTCAACAGAAATAAATGCACGAAATATTTTATAACCACTAATGATGATGCTGCAGTGCTTATTTCCTTTATTACCCAATAGCTGGGTTTGTCCCTTTTTAACCCAGCATTTTTTAGAGTGTAAGAAGACGGACTTGTACAAGGCCTGGGTTATCGTCAACAAGGCAAACAACTGTATTCTTACTGTGAACTGCACCTGTATGGCTGGGTATGTAACCAAAATAAGTTTGCTGTCTTAAATTTTCATTGTTTTCCATTCAGTGTCAGCAATTTAATCAAACAAAAATTAACTGCTTATTTGCTGAAATCATATAATCATACAGCTGTTGTTATATGTAGCCTAAAGCACAAATTAAACTAATGTGTTTCATACATTATACCATTTTGTGCAGGTTAGGGTCATGCTGCAGCCATGCAGCTGCACTTATGTTTAAAGTTGAGCTGTGGGTCAGGTTAGGACAGACAGAGAAGTGTTGTACTTCAGGGACAAATATGTGGATCCAGCCATCCAAGAGAGAGGTGAAACCAGCCAGACTGAGTGAGACCAGCTTGAGAAAGGCTAAGAGGACAGACACCCAACTGCAGCCAGTCAAAGTAAAGCGTAGAAAGAACAATGTAAAAGGTAGACACAATCTGAACGTAGACGAGATCAGGTACATCATGAACATATAACAAGCAGGTATTAATTATATTTTTATAACCTGTCTTTTTTCATTAATTGCCTTTTTAGTTGCAATATTGTACAAATAAACTTCTGAGGGTGTATTAGCACGGGCTGTTCCAAGGTGTTCACACATTGGAACACCTGCAGAATACCTTCATTGCAGAATACCTCGGAGTTGTTAACTCATTATGTTATCCCTGAAGATTGTATATCTCTGAAAATTACATTATTTCTGAGTTTTGCTGATCTAAACTTTGTCTTTAACTTCTTTGATTATTCTGAAGCAATGGAAGCAATGGAAGTAAATGAAGCCTTGAAAGTTGATGCAAAAACACATTTCTACAGGTGTCCCAATCTGTGAACACCCTGGAACAGCCTGTGTTAAAAGGACTCGCTACACACACACACACTTGCATTTGTGGTTTATGGGGACTCTCCATAGGCGTAATGGTTCTACACCTAAACCTACCCCTTACTGAAAACTACTGGCAATTTTTGAATTTCATAAAACCGTTTTGTATGTTTTTTAAAGGAGACATATTATGCCCCTATTTACAATATGTAATATAAGTCTTTGGTGTCCCCAGAATGTGTCTGTGGAGTTTCAGCTCAAAATACTCCACAGATCATTTATTATATTATTTTGAAAATGACTATTTTGAGTGGAAGCAGAAACACACTGTTTTTCGGGCCTGTCTCTTTAAATGCAAATGAGCTGCTGCTCCCCGCCCCCTTTTCCAGAATAGAGCTGCGTCATTACAGCTCATACCTGCTAAAAACATCTGTTTTGATTCTGATTATCATGTTTATCGTGCTGAAATCATGCGTTTTAAACCATATTAGTTTAAACTTCTGATATACGGTTTTCTGAGAGCACACATCGGAAGCACATGGACAGAAAGCCGATCCGGCGATCCACAGCACTAAGTTGATGTATTTCC